CTTCACCCGCACTCACGCTGCAAAGCTGCTGCAAGGAGCCAAAGCCCAAGTAAAATGCTGATTATGGTTCCGATTATCAGCATCTAGCGCAAAGCCTGCAAATAACAAAAGGCAGCTCCGGCACGGGAGCCGGGAGCCCAGTGCCCACTACGTACTGGTGAAGGTTAAACACTTACCACCGGGAATCCCTCCTGCAGCCCCTGCCACCTCCCCTGGCTTCTCAGCCCCCCTCCCCAGCACCCGAGCCACTTACTGTCCTGAAGGTGACTCCAGCTGCATCTGGGCTTCCATCGCAGGCACCCGGGGGCTGTGGCGTCGCCTGCCAGATCCCGGCACTCGCCTGCTTGCCTTGACTTTGCCACAGAAACTCCTTCAGCTTGTCTGCATTCTGTTCCCTAGGAGCATGCAGCATCCTCGCAGTTCAGCTTGAGAAGTTCCTTGCAAGGGAGGGGAGCCGAGGGGAGGGATTTAAAGGCAGACCCTGCCTGGGTTGCAGACACCTTCAGGTGCTGGGCGGTAAAGATGCTTTTCTTTATAAAGGGTCCTTGGCTGCCGCTGCTGGGGCATCCCCCTCCCCTGCTGCCACAGGCAGATCGCCTCCTCTGAAGCCTCGTCCGAGATCAATACCACCCCTCGCACGCGCTGTGCCCAGCTTCCAGGCAGGAGGCACGGACACTGCACAGATCTATGCTAATGAAATCCTCTCGTGCCGTTATTAACCAGCCAATATTGTCACGGGCACGCGAATGGCAAGAGGCCTCCACCTCCCTGCCTCGGCCTGCAGATGCGAAGTCCGGCCGGTGCTGGGCCCCCTGCGCCTCTCTCACCGCAGCTGCAGCAGCAATTTCACCCACCAGCCATGCCAGGGAGAGGGTAGCTCCAAAATTGTCCCAAGGGGCAGCTCAAAGCGCCCTTTGGGCCAGCAACCAGGTGACCCCAGCTGCTGCCCCCAGCCCCTGCCATGGCACCGAAAGCACTTTGCCGGATGTAGCCAGGGCCCTGCTTCTATCCTGGGGGCCGGGGGAAGAGTGAAGGGTGCCATGCACCGGCAGCCTGTTGGTCTGGGGACAGCGGGATGTGGGGCTGATGGGGGTGGAGGGGAAAGGAGTTTCTCTGTGGATTTTGGAGGTGAAATGGGGAGACTTGGGGCTCAGCTGAGCAGTGATCTTTACCATAGTGCGTGTGTGTAAGAGGGTGGGTGCGACATACACGGCGCACGTCTCCCCAGGTGCGCACTATATGAGACTAAAATCGCAGAGGAAGCCTGGAGCGCACTGCCGATCTTCTGACCCTGCTGCGTGGAGCATTCAGCCGCTTGCCAGTGGCTCCGTCCTTGAGTCTAGCTCTTCAAAGCTGCCACGCAAAGAAGTGCGTTGGCGCATTTGCTTTCCTCACCATCCCCCTCCCCGGCCTTGCAGGGCCCCGGGGCTGCCCCTGCTCACGGGGCACGGTGGCAGCTTTCAGAGCCCCTGACAGCCGGGCCCCCAGTCTGTGATGCGGGCTCAGGGTGAATATGGGGCCGAGGGGTCTGCCGCAGCCCAGGCCCACTGAGCAGGGCTTGGCTAGCGCAGGTGGAAAAGCAATGGGGTGAAGTGGGGGGTGGGAAGCGCCGTGGGGAAAAAGCCCCGCAGGATCTCGAAGCTGGCCCCATCCTTGCAGCTCCCCGTCAGCTCCTCCCCCGCCTGCGACTCCCAACACCTGCAAACTTCTCGGAGAGGCTCTGCAGCCCCAGGTCCTACCTCCCGGCTCTGCCTCGCTCAGGGCTCCTCCGGCAGCAGCATCGCCTGGGCTCTGAGCCCGGTTCCTCTGCGCTGCAGAACGTCCAAGGGATGACACGAGGGCTTCGCGGCCGCCCGCCCACCCGCCTGCCCGCCGGCCAGAGCAGCATCATGTCCTGCAGCCCACAGGGGGGTGGCGGAGGGGGCTGCCAGTGCGAGACCGGGGCAAGGCTGGGGGCACACCTTGTTCTGGTGACCAAATGCAAACAGAGGAAAACAAGAGGGGCCCCCTCCGCACTCCCAGCCCTGCCTTGGCAGGCCCGTCTGCCCCCCTCCCTCAGCCCAACGCCCCTCTCCCCGCTCCGGCCGCGCACTGTTTGCCTGCTATTTTTGGCAGCCTCCAAAGAGCTCCTTGCAGGCTATTAATAATGAGAGTGAGAAATTCGTTTGGCCTCTGCTATATAAGGAAAGGGAGAGGGTTAGAGGCAGCTAAATATACGGAGCACGCGGGAGACAGGGAGCAAGCGGGGAGGCCTTGGCACCGCCTGTGGAAAGAGCGCGCTGGAACAATGCAAAGACGGGCTCCCCCCTCGTGCGGGGCCCGGGGCGGTGGGGAGGGCAGGGCTGCTCTCTCTGCATCCGTGGCCTGGGTGGCTTTGCTAGGGCTTGGCCTCAGACCCCATCTCGCCCCCTTGGGAGCTGGGTTTTCTCGACAGCTCAGCTCCCCTGAAGGGACTCGTAGCCACGAGCAAACCCTCCCCGGTGTGTGGAGCTCTCTAGGTCTCAACACGTGGCCTCAGTGTAGGACCCCAGGCCTTGCAAGAGGGGACACACTGGGGATTCCCACAGCAGAGGCTCAGCGAGGCCAGGCCCAAACCCCCAGACCAGGGCTCCCAAGGCTAATGGCCTGTGCGTGGTCTACCCACTTGTGTGGGGCGGCGTGAGCAGGGAGCGGGACCTGGCATGTGCCTCGGGCACTTGTGTGCAACTGTGCGGAGGAGAGACCACATGCCTGTGCTTGGGATCTTGGCCCTCGAGCAGCTAAAGGCACCTAGACTGCGCCCAGCCTGGCCCAGCAGCAAACGGGCTGGGCCAGGACCAAAAGGGTGTGAAACCGGCTCCGGAGTTAAGTGCTTGTTAAGCCAGGATGTGGGCATGAGCTAGAAGGCTTCCCAGCCCCCTCCTGCCCTGCCCAGCTCCAGCTCAGGGCTTTGGGAGGACACAAGCACGTGCAGAACGAGGGCCCGGGTGCTGTACCAGGTGCACTCCCCTCCGGGTGCTTGCCCTGCACCCATCCAGGCAGTCTGGGAAATGCTGCCCTGTGGCACAGCAAAATCCAGGCTCACCAAGGACTTACCCTGGGCAAGGGCATCATGGCCACAGAAAACAGGGTGGGGAGAGCTCAGCTCCCCCTGCCCACAGCCCCCAGAGGTGCTGGCAGGATAGGGTCCAGGGGACACTGTGCTCCAGCCTGTGTCCATCTAGGAGACGGCAGCTGTGCGCCGGCGCCCAGCTCGGAGCATTCCCAGCTCCCCGCTGCTAGAGGGGCTCCTGCGGCCTTGTGGGAAGTAGCCCCAGCATCTGCTTGACCCCAGCATCTTGCCTCTGCCAAGCAGCATCCGACTGTCCCTGCTGGTCGGTCCACAGGACAGAGCCAGGCAGCATATGGCCAGCAACGAATACACTCAGCTGCACTGGTCAAGTCTGAGTCAAACTGGAATTGCGGCTGCAGGAAGGGAGAGATACTGGTTAGGGGAAAGTCCCTGAGGCTCTAATGAATTAGATGCCATTCCCATCCCCGACCATGGTATCTTTTAGCCTGCCGGGCCAGGGAAAGCTGCCCTGGGCAATCACAGCCTTTTAGGGGAGTAGGCAATGTCATGGGTGCCTGCCCCAGGCCGGGCAGCACAGCCGGAGCCTGCCCTTTCCATTAGGGTCAGGCTGCAAGCCTACCTCCTCCCCAGGGGCCAGGAAAGGCCTGGGGTGGTCAGTGGGATCTGGACCTCCTTTGGGGTGGGCACGAGCCTGATGGGGTTTTGCACTGGTGCCCCAGGCTGATCCCGGCAGCTCTTGGGGCTGGAACTGAAGGGAAGGGCAGGAGACAGGGAACCAGGGCTGCAGGAAAGTTGATGGGTCTTTGGAGGTGAGAGCTGGCTGGAGGACTTGGATGAGCACCTGTGTGTGTGTCATAGGGCCTGTACTGTCAGCAGAGATTCTCCATGCACTCCTGAGGTCAGGGCTTGTGTTTGTCATCATCCTCCTGTTCTGGGCCACTTGGCTTGGAAGGACTTTGGGGCAGGCACCGGCTGTGACCACGTGCGTCTATACAGGACCCAGCACATGGGGCCCTGCTTCCAGCTGCACTCTCTGAGCTCCATAATGCAAAAATGTTCCTCCAGCTGAGGTCTCCCTTGGGAGTCGTGGGCAGGGGCGCTCTGCCCCCCCGGGCTGGGATTGCCTCCCATCAGCTCCCTGAGGCCTGGAAGCGAGGGGCAGGAATCAGATCTTGGGACCTGTCTGAGAGCCCAGGCACCACCTGAGGGCTCTGCAAAGCTGCCTGGCACCCCATATGCACCCTGCCCTGATGGAGCAGCACTCTGCAGAGCCCAGCCCCCCGCCCCACCAAAACCCACTGCTTCCCAGGCCATCCTCACCTACATGGCCTTTCCATCCAGCCATGCTGCCTGGGACAGGGCTCCCTGCAGTGCAGCAGAGGCAGTGACTCCCCCAGGAGCGGGTGGATGTGCAATTAATGCAGCCTCCATACGGGCAGGACAGTGGCACCCGTGCCAGTCACAGGTGCTGGCTAAAACTACCACGAGAATAGCATTCCCTTCAAAGCTGTCTCCTCGCATTAACGAGCAGGCCGTTAACCTCTATGGCCACCAAACTCATTATCAGACATGCAGCTAGATTCCCCGCTGTCTGGCCGGCCAGTGAGGTGCACCAGTGCCAGCACAGTCCCAAGGGGAGCAGGGCAGGCCTTGAACCCCACTGGGGAGCCGGATGCCCCCGTTAAGCCCTGCATGACCCTGCTCAGGCCTGGCCAGGCACTGGGAGACGGTCGTAGCGGTCAGCCTGGGGCTCCTGTTTCTTTAAAGCGAAAAATGGCAGCAGATGGAGCCCAGAGAGCTGAGCAGGGACTAATCACAAGAGGGAAGGCAGCAAAGAAACCCTGCTGCCTCGGCAGGGACCTGCCCATTAGAGGGAAGGGCATCCCTGCACCGGTCAGGAGATCTCTGCCTGGGGGGAGCTGGCTGCAAGGGAATAGGCAGCGAAGGAAATAGGCCAGTAGGGCAGAGCCTGGCACAGGGAGGCTGCTGAAGCAGCAGTCATCAGCTGCCCTGGCAACCAGCCTTCAGGGTTTAACGAGAAACCCCTGGGGGCTGGAGCACCAGGGGATGGGAAGGGGCAGGGCATAAGTGGTATATAAGCCTAGGGTCTGAGCCAGGTCAGGTAGCCTGTCCCAGCAATCTGGGGTGTGAAGAGCTTGTAGGTGCAGACTGCAGGAAGAGGCTCTGCCGGCTCCTGGATCCCCTAAGGAGGCAGGTGAGGCACTGGAGGCTTGCTGTTGGGCGGGTAACCAGGGCAGGGGGAGGCATGACTGCTCCGGCTGTTAAGCTACTGGTCATGTTTGGACCCAGCACGGGTTCAGTTTGTGTTACAGCCACTGTGCTTATTTCTGTGTTACGGTTCAGACTGGCAGCTTGGGTTTGGGGATATTGGGGGCTGATGGAGGTCTCAATAGAGCTTGTGGGCACAAGAGGGGCTTGAGCCCTACCATGGGCTTGGAGCTTGAGCCTTATAGGGTGGTAGCCTGTGGAAGGGCTGTAGCCAAGTGCAACTCGAACCAGAGCGACCCAAAGTAGGCTTTCCCGGAGCAGGGTGGAGACAGGATTGGAGCCCAGACAGAGCCAGAGCGGGCTCAGTGCCCAGAGCAGGGCAGAGACGGAGACTAGGCCAGGGGGCCCAGCGCCCAAACTGGGGTGGAGACGGGACTAGGGGACCCAGACAGAGCCAAAGCAGGTTCAGCACTTGGAGCAGGGCAGAGACGAAGCCAGGGGGCTCAGGACTGAAGTAATCAAGATAAGAGCTGGTGCCCAGAGGTCATTTCCAGCATGGTGGGCCCCCAGCTAGAGCAAAGGGGTGGAGGTCGTACAGTAACACCTGTGAGGCATGGACATGGCTGTAGTGGAGGTTGGAGTCCATGAATGGCGCTTAAGGCTACAGATGGGTCAGGAGGGTCTGCTTAGTCTGAAAGGCAGAACCAAGCACAGAAGAACTGGGGCTTGCTCTAGGACCCGTAGGCAGCCTCCCTTTCAATCAAACAAATATCAAGGCATGGCAGGCGCGTGAGCAGGGGAAGGCACCCTACAGCTAGAGCAGGGCAAAGGACCATGTAATACCCCTGAAGCTTGAACTTGCAACACGATTCAAGGCCTATTGCCCTAGGCACTGCCTCCCAGGGCCGTGCTGCGAAGAGCTTGGAGCGGGAGCAGAGACCAGGGCGAGTAGGATGAAACGGCCCTGGAACAGGAGACTGCAAAGAAAAGGCTCAATCGCTGCCAAACACCCCGGTGAGCAGAGCTGCCAGCAGCACTCCCTCTGCTCGCTGGGGGTGGGGAGCTGAGCACTTGCAAAACTCCAGCCCTTTGTGAGGCAAAGGAAGTGGGGAGCAGGTGTGTGGGGATGGGGCACCTTGGCAAGCTGCTCCCTTTGTGTACTGGGAGGAACTGGAAGAGCTTTCTTGTGTCACAGGGGCTGAGCTCCTTGCTCGGGAGGCCAGGGCCAGCATGTGTATTAGTCCTGGGTGCTGTTTCCAGAACAGCTTCCCAACGGGGGCTCTCCAAGCATGATGTGGAACTGGGCATCTTTACCCCAGAGGGGGAAACGGCGGTAGGGAAGCTGTGACCTGCACAAAATCAGACTTGAGAGCAGGCTCCATCCCCAGACTCCTGGCCTCTCTCATCCCTCAGCTGCTCCTGGGGCAGGACGGGACTCTCTCCTCCAGCTGAGTCCCTGGGCTCTGACCAGTCTGACTGGTGACATCTCTTTAGCAATGAGGCTCCTGTGACCCCAGGGCTAGGAAGACCTGATTTGTATATGGGTCAGAGTTGGGGCTGGCTGAGCAGGCACTTCTGTCAGATTGGGGAAACCGAGGCACAGAGAGGTGAAGGGACTTGCCAGCAGCACTCGGGGCTAGTGCTCAGTCCCAGCACCATGCTCTGGAAGAGGCTGTGCTGTCTGGTGAACAAGCAGGGAAGCCCATGGCAGCAGCAGGATGGGGTCCCAGGCAGTGAGCTCGGCCTCTCCCCACTCCAGCTGGGGCGGGAGAGAACAGAGAGCAGTCTTGCGACTCAGTTTCCCTGGAGTCTTAGGCAGTGTTTACTACAGGGGTGGGCAATTTAATGAGTTTTGGTGTTTTTTCTCGAGCCATCTTTCTCCCCTCCCCTGGGGCTGGCAGGAGGGCCTAGTATTCCTGCCTGATGGCAGAAATGGCCCTGGGAGTCCCTAGCAGAGCTCATGAACACCTGCATCCATGCTCAGCAGCCATGGTGCTCACCAAGCCGGCAGAGGCAGCGTTGCACTGTGTCCCACCAGCCCACTGCCCTCCCCACCCCACCCAAAAGGGAGCATCCCAGGCTGAAGCCAGTGCCCATAGCCCCAACACTGCCTGGCCTCCTGCCTCTTTGCAGGGACCGAGAGGTACTCCCCATAGTGCCTCCTTGCTTGATGTGCCCTTTGTGTCTGCATCGATCTGGCTCAGACAGATTTCTGGGGTCCATGTGACTCCTCCCGCGCCAGCGAGGGGTTCCCCAGGCTCTGAGCATTTTGCAAAACTTCTCGCTGTCTGCATCCCGGTAGCACCTAGGAGCCCCGGGCCCCGGGCAGGATTGCTGCATGACCGAACTGGAGCAGCTGTGGCCTTGAGAGCGCCCACCCAGGGGAGTTTACTGGGGTTCCCCAAGTTGCAGAGAGAGCCCAGGCCCATGGCAGGGGGCTCGGCTGGCTGCAGCTCATGCCTCAGTATTTGAGGTGCTCCCTACCCAAGGGGAGGGCAGCTTGCAGGTTGGGGCCCAGCCAGAAACAATTGGGAGCTGAGCCAGAGCCCTTCAAGGAAGGAGTTTTACACATCTCCCTGTCATGAGCTTGACCCTTCCTATTTACCCAGCACAGAGGTACTGTTGTGCCCCTGTCCTGGCATCATGCTCCCTGAGCACCAGCTTCCTCCAGTCCCCACGGCTCTCGCCATGCAGGCTCCCCCTCTGCTTTGGCCCTGAACCCAGGAGCTGGCAGGTGCATTCAGCCTTCACGCAGGTCGTGGGATTTAGGAGCTCTGTGTCCTGCACCGAGTCGAGCCCACGCACTCTCTAACGGTGAGCTCTGCCAAGCAGACGAGGGCAGGCGCTCGGGGTGGAGCTCTTCTTCCAGACGTCGGGGCAGGCAGCCGGGTACCCAGGTCCTGAAATGAGGCACCGTGAGGACTGTGGCTGGGGCAGTCCCTTTCTCTCTGTGCCTCAGTTTCCCCAGCAGTGAAACATGACAACTGCCTCCGAGACAGGTATCGAAGGGCTTAAATAATTAACAAGCAGCAGGTTGCTCTCAGCCTCCACACAAGCCCGGAGATAAAACCCTTTATCTTTCCTTGAAGTGTTTTGTCAGCTAACAGATGACTCTGATCACCCTCCTGCTTCCTCCCCCACTATCTTGAGGTCTCTCTCAAACCAGCTGCCAGGAACAATGAGGGAATTAGGGCTGGGAAGGCTGCGGCTCTGCCAGGGGCTGGGGCGCCAAAGGGAATCCTGCCAACACGGCTGTGCTTTGCAGGGACGGGACACGCCTGCTCCCTACCTGTACCTCCTATTTCCCCCCAGTCAATCCAGGTGAGGACACCCAGGCACAGGCCCTTGAGACAACGGCTGCCTGAACTGAGGTAGCACTTGCAGTTGTGGGCAAGATCTTGCCGCGCCAGGCGCTGTACAAATGCACACCAGACAGGGCCTGCTCCATAGGGTGAACCGCTGCACCCCAAGACCTGTTCCAGGTAAGAGGACGTTGGAGCTGGGGGGGAGCATGCAGAAGCTTTGCTGACCTGTTACTGCCCGGCCATCCAGGCAGGCCAGCACAAGGCAGGTGGGTGGCAACTTACCCCTGCAGCTTTGCAGTGAGGTGCAGAAGCCAGGCAGCATTTGCTTTGGTGGGCATCGATTCCTGCCTCTGCTGAAATGCTGTTGCGAGCCCTTGGAGTATGGGGTTCCCCGGAGGTATGTGCCCCTTCTGTGACTCAGTGCTGCCCTAGCCCCTCTGATGCCATGGCCAAATGCTTTCTGCCCCGAATGGCTCTATTCAAGGACCCAGCACAGGCAGGAACCAGGGGAATGACTGTAGCCCCAACTTTCATTAAAAGTTGGTGGCTGTGTGGCTGATGCTAGGCAGCGAAGAAGCCAGTGCTTGCTGCTACCCGTGCTTCACATGGCCTGTACAGTCCAGAACCCTGCTCTCATCTCCCTTGATGCTGCACCTCCATGGAGAGAGGGGACCTGGGAGAGATGGCACCGCAGCAATTGGACAAGCACAGAAATTCCTGGGCTCTTTAAGCGGCTTAAACTAGAAGGAAGCAGAAAACATGCTGACAGGCCTCTGCAGCGTGGCACTCGTTTCCAGTGTGGCTGGCGTTGGTGGGAGGGCATGTCTGGAGGAGAGGGGCAGCCCAGAAGGTGACTTCACCCTGCGTGTCAAAACCTCCTTGTCCCAGTGTGTTACAGGCCCTCTTGGCTGCAGTGGTGCTAAAACACTTGCTCAGCTGACAGCCGGGAAGCCTTTCTTAATGTCCTTCAAGGACTCTGCTAATTAATGAACGCTCCTCAGCTTCATTAGGAGGTGCTGACGTCCCGAGCACCAGTGCTGTTTGCTGAAGCTCAATCCCTGAAGCTTCAGCAATTTTGCTTTCCAGTGAAATCAATAGCCCACATTTGCATCTCCTCTGGCTTCCTCGGGAGCAGCCCTCACAGCAGACGCACTCAGAGGCCCTTTCCCCTCCTCCCTGACCAGCCTCTGAAATGTTAACTGTCAGGGCTTTTCTGCCAGGGACTGTGGCAGCCCTTAGCACTGGTTGCTGGCAGCGTGGAGAGATGGCAGACTCTGTGGCAAGAGATTGGACCACCTTGAGCCCTCCTTTGGGGCACAGCAATGGAGCTCCCTCCAAGGGACCCATCCCACAGCAGGGGGGGTGCATGGTCCTAGCTTATGTTGCGAGAAACCAGAGCTTAAAGTAGTTGTGAGGCCTCTTGGTCAAGGAAGCTTTCACGATAGAAGGGCTGACACTTGTCACCCAACAGCAGGGCTAGAGAGATCATTATTGCAGCTCCTTGAACTTAGACATTGGCACTAATACTGCCGTAGGAACATCTGATCTACTAACGCAGCTCAGAGAGCACTGCACTGTGGACCTGGAGCCACTTCGGCTAATACGCAGTTTGCACGCTCCAGCATAGGCTGCTCCCTTGCATGCCCAGTGGCCTCTGTTCTCCAGGGGGAGCTGGGCTGCAGCAAGTTTGGGCTGCTTCAGTCAAGCGGTAAATGTGGCCTGCTCTGGGCAGGCCCGTGGCAGCTCCAGGGTGCAATACGGTGATTGTAAACCAGGATGTAGCAGGGTGCTACTTAATATCAGCACTGCTAGGTGTGGAAAAACACCAATGCATGACTCACAAAATTAAACCCAGAAATCTCAAATAGGATGTTCTTGACACCGTAGATTCCTGAGCTGCCCTGGGCTTCCTGAGTTTGCTGCAACAACAGAACAGAAGTGCTCTAGTATTTTTCCATAGTCAAGAAACAAGTGAAGAGCTGGCACTTTCCCTGCGGTGACAGGAGTCTCACAAGGTTAAGAACCACTGGTCTAGTACTTTGTGGGAGCTGTAGTTTCCAGACACAGAAGTGGGAGTAGATGCTCTCCAGCATGGGATGGGTCTGCACTGGAAGGAAGGAAGGAAGGATCTGATTCCCTTTAAACCCTCCCTGAAATGCATCCAGCGAGAAACCAGAGAGAGATTGACAGCAGCAAAACAACTTCCCCTTTTATTTGCAAGAAATGTGTGTGAAATCATTTTCCAGTCTTGATCCAAGTAACACTGCAATCAACAACCATCATTAAATCAAAGCTTGGACAGGTCGGGCAGCCCCCAGTGCGCAAAAGAACAAAGGGAAATTAAGAGCAAACTGTTTGAAACTGGATCCCAGCATTGCACGAGATCATGGGCTTTGCCTCAAACATCGTTACAGGAAAAGAAAAACAACCAAGTGTGTCTGGAGTCCATTTATAATCGCAGAGCGAGGAAAACAAAATCCAGTTAGGCTGATGGTTCATCGAACAGCTGTCTCAGCTTTTAACTTCCACACTTGGGGAAGTTGTAGCCAGCATCTCTAATTGTGAAATCATAATGCATAGCCATGCAGAAAACTTCTCATTGCAAGGTCAAGCTAGGATCAGGGTGCTTAGGTAACAAATGAGCAGTGATATTAATAATACACTGGGGGAAGGTGGGATTTTAGACTGATGTGTTGTTTGACACCACCTACCTCAGAGGAAGAGCTTCTCTAAGGTGGGCTGGGCCTGTTTGGAAGCAGATGACCTGACACCTGTGAGATGATGCCTACACTGAAGTTTCTAACTGCCAGGGGGTTTTTACTCCTCCTGTCCCTTGGCTCTATATTAGCTTTTGTGAGATTTCAGACTGGTTTCTGAGGTGCTGGCTGTGCTCATTAGTGCAGTGAGGGCATGTGTTTCTTTGTGAGGGGGAAATTTAGAGGCCCAGAGGGCAAGATCTGAAGAGCACAGTGGAGCCAGGTGGGAGAGCAGGGAGCACCGCACAGCTGAGCAGCACCAGCGGTGAACAAATGCGGGCGCTGCGTCACCAGCCTGCCCCGGGGATGACAAACGACTACCGAGTTAGGAAGCTGTCCTAGCAACGCTGCTCGGCAAGGAGCGCGCAGAGTGCCAGAGCCTGCTGCAAAATTCAGGTCTCCTCCAGGCAAGGCAGGAAACAGCTCTTCTGTCTACAGCGGAGCCGTCAGCTGACTACAGCACTTCCAGGGACATGTTTGTTTCCCCACCGGGAACTAGGAGGAAGGGAGAAAACCGTCAGCTAAACAGAGGTGCTATCAGGCAAGTGCGGTGCAGGGTTTAATTGTTCCCCTCCATATCAGAGCCAAGGCCGGCTCAAAAGCGCATGGTGCAGCTGCTGTGAGGGGTACTGATCTCTGCAGCAAAGCATGCAGGAGAGCTTCCCCACTGCAAGCAGCCTGCCTGTACTGCAGAGGACTGCCCCAGGCTGGGAGAGGAGCAAGGCTACCACCCGGGCCTTAAAAGTGGGAATAATTAATGGGATGCAGCAGCCTAAGAGAATCTCAGGCATGACCCTGCTTTGAGCATCCAGCTGATGTGCGCCTTCAGTCCCACACTTTTTTAGCTCTGGGTCAGTCTTGCACACAGAGAAAGGGGAGACTCTCTGCATAAGGAGAACAGTGCAACTAAGAGACCTAAGACTTCAGTTTATCTAGTCTCTGATGCTACTGGCAACAAAAAGATCTCAGACAAGGGTAATTGTTAACTAGACTGTCCCTTTAAGACCTCCCACCCAGACCATCCTGGTGCCATGGGTTCCCTGTGGGTGGTCGGGGAAGGAATGATTTCAGGACAAGGGCAGCATGGAGACGGCACCCATTGAGGGACCCCCACATGCATGCGGGATGGGCGAGCAGGCTGTCCCCACACCACAGGGAGGAGTGCGACAGGTCCTGCAGGCACAGTCAGAGACCCCAAACCCCGTGGCTGGCAGTCCACGGAGCAGAGCACCATCCTCTCGTTAGGCACCTAGCCCTAAGGAATCCAGCGCTGGGGCCTAAAGAAAACATCTGACTGCAGAGGAAACAGTGTTGGTAGGAGACGTGACTACATTCAGGGCAGGGACAGTCCATCAAATTAAATAGCGAGTTTAATCTTCATCTCGTTTAACACAAGTCAGTAGTGCAGCAACATAAACACAACTCTGGAGTTTAAAGCCTCTTGCTGGTCAGACCCAAAGCCAATGAAACAAGCTTCTGATTTTGAACTAGAACACAAAGAAAAGGCAATAAACTAGCCTCCCCTCCCTGAAGGAGCGGCAGCATCCTCCACTCCCCAAGAGAAGGGAAATGTGCCCAGACAGCAGCACAGGCGGACAAGGGTTAGGGAAGGCGTGGGGGCCAGCACGGACACGCCACTTTTCCACCTCACATGCTGCTTGGCTCCAAGGGGCAGGTCTTGGCTGGGCCCCACAGCAGGGCACTCTCACTGCAGGCCTGCAGCTGCCCTGGCTGCCCACAGATATTTGGACAAGGACCCGAGCGCTCCCATTTCGAGCCACTGATAGATCTGCAGTGCTCTCTCCCCAGCAGCCAGCCCAAAGGATGAAGCTGCTGGGAGCACACGGGACTAGTTAAGGCCGCACAAAGGGCTGTGGAGGGGACCAGCCAGCCAGCAGGGACTGGAGGCAGAAACCCATACGTGGCTCTAAGTGCAAGAGTTGAGATGCAGTGTGCAGCACCTCACGCTGTGAGAGAGGGGTTAAGGATCTGTGGAGCGTGAAGGAGGTGGGCAGTGTCTCAGGGCCTGGGGGGGGGCCCCCATACTAGGTGCTTGGCTTCCCCTTCACAAGCAATCCCCAGGGTCTGCTAGGAAGCAGAGCCGGCCGGACACATGAGGCCGCAGCCAGCACCACAGCTGCAGGAGGCAGGGCGCATCCTCACGCCAGGCTCTCCATGCTTGAGGAGGTGCCACGGCATCTCCGTTCCCAGTGAAAGGACTAACAATAAATTAAAGCAATTACAAAACCCAAACAGCTCCTCTCCTAGCTGTAAGCAGGCACAGTGGAAACATGGTGCTTCCCTTCCCTCCCACTCCCAAAGCTGGGCAGTGGGATAGGCCAGGGGCACACTTAAAAGAACGGTGCTTAAGTAGCTGGGAGTGGTAAGGGGGGTCAGGGCAGGGAGAGAGCGAGCCTTTTTTTGCAGCTTAGCTGGCACATGAACCAATTTGTTGGAAACAAATCAGTGCACCAGTGCCAGACACTGCCCCAACAGGCGCTTCGCCCCACAGCCCTGACCCTCCTCCTGAGAGGAGACCTCCCTCGGCAAGCAGGGCTGGAGTCTGCGGCTGCCTGAGGGGGGCAGAGTGGGGGCCGCGCTTTCACAGCTGCTAGAAGTGGTTCTGTCCCGTGGGCTCCATGTGCCAGGCCCGCCCCTGCTGCCCGGCAGTCTCCGTTTCACAGTTTCCTGCTACTTCCTTCACTTTCCCTTGAAGTCCGAATTCAAGTACGAGTGGTTCTAGTCACACGAAAAGGAACCCAGAAAACAGGTTCTTTCTGGGCAGTAAGTTAGCAGCTTTGTCCTAACAGGATCCAGCTGGTCTCCGAAGGCCCCCCAAGGGCTGGGGAGCAGAGCAGCCTTCCCTTTCCTTGCGACTCTTAACGGAAGGGCCCCCCAGGCTGGGCTATAGGATTTCTTCCCTCTGGTTCTTGGGCTTGGGCAGCACCTGTCCATTCCGCAAGGAGCCGTTCTGGCTGCGGAGCAGCTTCCCTTTCTCCCTGTCCGGCCACGTGAAGATGGCCTCGTCGCTGTCCAGCTCCGACTCAGAGTGCATGAGGCTGGTGTTGAGGACCTGAGCTTTCTGTCGGCCGCCTTTAAAAGAAGCCAGAGAGAATCCAAGGTTAGAAACTGCTTTGTCTCTCACTGGATCATGCTCCCCTTAACAGCAGAAACAAGCCCACAGTCTGGCTCCGAGCTGGCAACAGGCTGGTATCTTAACCGAGTCTCACAGGTCTATCACCCATGCCTTCTACTGGCCGCCACGGTGGGGTGACAAGCCCTGAACTCATTCCTGGCACCAGGACTGAAGAGGCTGCAGAGATGTTAACTGACAGGCCAGGCCCTGCAGCAAGGGGGATCTTGGGGCCACACCACTCTGTTCTTTGTAGAGGTTTTGTGTAGACAGCACCCACCTCTGCCAGGCAGAGACTGCAGTAAGGACTATGCGAATGAGCAAGTAGGAAGAACAGCAAGAGGAAGCCAGTGTTATTTTATCATCACTGCTTCTCCTCCTGATCTACAGGAAGAAAGATAAAATTAGTGGGCTGAATTTAGATTAACACCCAAGGACGGGGAGAAAGATGTTTACTGATACTGTCGACAGAGGAAATATTTAGATTTCAGCTTTTCCTTAACGGAGAACTGCGACTCCGGTCGGTACTGACTGGAATGCTTCCCTATGTTGCTCTGGGTGAGGAGACTGCTTCTTCGGATGTCTGCTAGCCAAGGTGGAAATCAAGTTACCCATGGGAAGCAAGGATTTGAGGCACACTTGCCAGTGAAACAAAAGCCCTTTGTGATGGAGAGGTCCACTGGTGCTGGGTGAGAGAGGGGGGACCAGGCAGGGCTCTGGGTGTTCAGGGAGCAAAAAAATACCCCCTTTTCTTCAAGGGTATCCGAAGAAGTGCTTGCAAGCTGCATGACTCCCAGGGGAATCAGCCAAGCAGCAATGTTGCTGCAATGCCCTCCAATGCTGTCATAAGGCACTGCTCACTTTGCTGGAACTCCATTAAATCCAATAACACTATGATACGCAATTACTTTCAACTAGCAAACAAGGATTAAGGACCATTTTCCATGCACTGTTAGAACCACGCCTCCCCTTAACATACATGGCTGGATCACAGTCTTATTAGTACCAACTGCTTTAAGAGTTTAAATATTTCTCAGTATTGGAGAGCACATGTCTGATTTCCCAAGGTCCTCCTTCTGCCTGGCCATATTCAGAAGAGATTATACTTGGTACCAATGTCAGAATCTCCATCCTTGGAAGATTTTTAAAAGGACACTGGTCAGACACTTGGTTGGGATGGTTTAGTCAAGGATGATCCTGCTTTGAGTAGGGGGCTGGACTAGATAATCTTGTGAAGTCCCTTCCAAACCTACTTTCCTATGAATCTTATACAGTAAGAACATAACAGCATTTCTAGACCATGTCTGGTGTAAGGGGTGGAGAAGGGAGGGAAATGCTGGCCAAGGACACTGGGACAAACACCTGCCTGCAAAAGATGGCAAATGGAGTCTGTCTATGGCAGAGCATGTACATCTTGAGCTTTAAGAGGTCTTGTACCCCAGATGGGGTATAGCTGCCTGGGTAAGCTGAAGAGCTGGACCAGCACAGCGAACTTTCAAGCCCTGGGTTCCAAAGGTCCAGCTGCTTTATTGTTTTTTGCTTAGCCCCCTGGCCTCCCAGGGACTGACAACTCACTGTGACAGCCTCTTCATATCCTGCCCCACTACTAGGTGTCCACAACTAACTTCAGGACTATGCTGGGAGTCTACATCAAATGGGAATATTCAGCCTGATGATCTGGGCTGAGGAAAGAAAACTGTGGAGCATGCTTCCAGATTCAGTCACACAGACAGTGCCCTGGAGAAAAGCCAGACTCTATATTTCCTTTTCCCAGACACACCACTACCATGCTGATGTCTCCATGCTGGGCTCCAGCTAAGAAGTTTAATACCAGCAATGGGCTTTCATTGGCAGTGGGCTGGCAAGGACTAGGCAGGTACAAGTGAGGCACAACAACTGAGCCCAAACTCTTCAGAGAGGAAAAAGGCTTTTTTCCCCCTTTGCACTGCTTGGCCCTGAGCCAGAACCAGACATGCCACAGCACCAAGGCCAGACTGTCCACATGTTGTTTCCAATGTGACAGGCTGCAAACATCAGGACATAGCCAGTTCTCAGACTGTTTCTGGCTTGATCCTATGCCAGGCAGGTTTAGATAACTCCACTAAGGAGCCAGTGTTCAGGTCTGAGGTGAATCCCTAGAGTTTAGACCTTGAGAAGTTCACCCATCACCACTTAGTTCTGCATTAGTGTCACCATGCAAGGTTAGATCCATGTGCAAAGAACTGTCTTGTCAGCCTCATGGACATGAGGCCCCCTTCCCTCATGTTTTACCCGCTTTGGAGTTGGGTTTTAACTCCAGGCTCTCTTGGTCAGTGGCATCCAAAATCTTGTATTTGCTTTTTCTTTTGGATTTTCCTTTCCTCCTGGAAGGGAGAAAAAAATTAGGTGGCAAGTCATTTTTAGACAAACCCAGCCAGACAAGGCTCTGCCATTAACGATCACATTGCCCGCTCTTCTTTTTAAATCAGGGAAACAAGATCGTCAGTGTTACTTTGGTTGCACAATTTTAGGTTAACCAAAATCTTGCAGATGAATTGAACCCTAAATGAACTTAGGACCTTTCTGTTTCACCTGCACCAGTTCTTCTGTATCTGCAGCCCAACTGGATCTGGGGCCCAATGTACAGCAAGCCAGGCACTGGAAAACCCCCACTGAATTAAGAGGGCAGGTAGCTGTTTGTCAATAGGACCATGGGTTCTGGACATGGGTTTGTCAATAGGACCAATAGGACTATGGGTTCAACCAGGCAGTGCTTTGCTGCTTCTACACAGCCACCATGATGGAGCCTTTGAGAACTGGGAATAACACAGGCCTATATAAATGGCCCACTTATGACTGAGACCCTGGAGGAGGCCTGCAGGTAACTCAGGACCTTACCTCTTACAGCAGCAGACCACAGTCCAGGATAAGATCCCAAAGGCGACCACAATGACGAAAGATGCAATGATCACGTACAGTACGCTCCATTCTGCAAGCAAAGAAACCCGAGGGGGTGTCACTTGGTGCTGCACATTGTTTGTGGATGAGGTGTGAGGCAACCATTCTCCAAGGTCAATTCAAGCGCAGGTTCACTACTTGAGACAAGTGTTCTGTCTCTACTGCTACTTCCGCTAGCTTAGCTAGATCTCGTCTGAGCCAATGCTCAGACCATCATCCCCTTGCTTTTGCCCACACCTCTCGCAAGGTCCTTCTGACAACATATATTCACATATGGAGTCAGCCCCTGCTATAGCAGGGAGTTTCATCTTTCTACTAACATCCAGTGACAGGAGAAGGATCCCACTTCTGTTCCCACTGCAGTTTTGCTATTTGTGATCTGGAGCTCCATGTACCGCAAGCCAGGCATTGGAAAACCCCCACTGAATTAAGAGGGCAGGTAGCTGCTTGCCAGCAGGACCATGGGCTTCAAACAGGCAGTACTTTACTGCTTCTACACAGCCACTGAGATGAGTAAAGGCCCGCCCAGACTTCCCATACCGCAGTTACTCTCGCCATCTCCCATCTGCACTTTGATGAAGTTCTCCATCCAGAAAGGGTCGCAGATGCAGCGCTTGGTGAAAGAGTCGCAGCGACCGTGCTCGGAGCAGTTCAGCTGGCATGCTGTGGGCAGGAAGCAGGGGAGTCAACTCAGTGGCTGACACTGAGGTTAAAAACAGAGCTGCTGGGCAGTGGGTGTGTGAAGAGTCAGTAAAAGGTTAGGGGCTATCTAGGGGCAAGATGAATACAGCTGGAAGAGAATGTAACAGTAACAGTACCCTGAAGCCTACAGTAGGAAAAGGGGTGCATTTGCTGCCACCTTGGCCCACAGCAAGGTCAGAACTGGGGACCTCCAGAGATAAAGTACAAATATTACAGGCCCTAAGGGGCCTGTAATGCCCCTCTGTGGATCAGGCATGTGTTGATGCCTAGGGTAGATTTGGGGGTTTGAGAGTTTCTTTTAACAGCCCCTGTTCTCATGCAAAATGAGTCCTTCAATGGAGCGAATGCAGGACCAACTATTATAATTCTCCAAGTATAACTATTGCCAGCAAATAAAGAACACAATATATATCAGGATACACTTTTTTGACCCAAGCAGAAATAAGCAGTCTTACAACTCAGAATCTCTACATCTTAAAATCCTAAGATCTGCCAACAGGCGGCCAGCCAGGTACTGAGATCTTACCCAAATTCAGAAACTACATTCTAAGAAGTGCTGGACCTTCATTACGTCTGCCGTTGGGAACCTCACCAAAGGATGCCAGAGGAACCCATCTCAGAGCACCAAGCCCCTTTTTATCCCCGTCATCAAAGGCTGACAACACTACTTTAAAGAAACTTTGATAAACTTTGATAAATATGGTAAGAAGAGAGACGTTCTTGTCATTCTCTTGGTCAAATTAGAATACACTGACCTGAGCCCACAATCAAGAGTTAATGTCCTAAAACTAGCTGGTCTTTCCAAGAAGCTTTTCTCGTCTGTGACTCAGTTCCTTTTGCACTACTTGAAGTTAACACAGCTAAAGGTCTACTAAACTGATTACAATGCTAACTAAAAGGATTCTAGATCAACACAGAGGTCAACACAGAAGTGGGGACACACAATACTCACAGCCCAGTGGGTTACAAATAGATTAACTCTTAGCACTGGAGCTAGACTGATTTTTTTGGGGGGGGTGAAGGAATGCAACTGCATGCATAAGACCTCTGGTCCTACAAGGGTCTGTGGAGGCGGGGACAGCTGCTGGCTCCTTCTACTCACTGACGGTATTAATTTCCAGGGCTCGGAAGATGAGGAAGTCTGACTGCTGTTTCCGGAGTTCATTCCTGAGCGTCCAGGCCACATCATGCCCCTTGAATATCTGATGGGGAGGCTGGTTCCGCACAAAGAACACCATCTTGGTGCTACAAATCAAAAGGAAAAATGTCATCAGGAGATGTCTGGCAAGAATTACACATCAGTTGGTCATCGTAACAGCAGAAGGTAAAGAGAGGTCTCCCTCTGGTATTGCAGGGGACTTGCCATCATTTGAATCTCAATTTTACCTGCAGTCCAGCTGAGTTATGCATATGACAGTGGTTACAGAAGTCATAGGTGGAGCATGCCTACCAGGCCTCTACCCCACTGGATTGTCCCCACAGTCTATTGGCTTTGTTCTGTCCCGCTTCAAATGTCTCTGAGACAGTCTCCATTTATTTGCAAGAGATGTGAACCCCAGCCCTTTATGATCCCATCTCTATCTTTAGAACTTCACACAGACAGGTTTTGGTGGATGTAGGTCACACTTCTTTCCAGAATTCAAGCGTGGCAGATTTGCTAACAACAACTTTTACTTGCTTTTGCAAAGCCCAGCTTGAGTTGGACGGGGATTTCTGGTCAGAAAAGTGGCTACTGGAAAAGAGCACTAACCTAGAACCCTCCCTGTATGCTTCCAGTGTCACCTGCTTATGCTAGAGACATCATAATCTTCCTTTTTTCCTCCCGTTACCCAGTCCAGGCAGCTCTGGAGGAGCTGGCTGACTCTATTCTTCCTCAAATAACAATTCAGCGAAGCTGCAAACTCATTATTGCTAGTGGACGTGTGAGGCAAGAAGAACCCAGGGAGATTCTGAGAATCTGTTCAGTGATGACAGCTAGGAGAAGCCTTTAACTAATAAAATGAGCAAATGGTGTAAGCCGTGTGCAGAGCCAACTGTCAGAATTGAAGTGCACCCATTCAGAGGCCTTCTGCTCTGCTCCATTTACTTAATGCTTTTCTTGCAGCAGCCAAAATAAAAATGTATTACAAGAAACCTCCGATTCCCCTCAGTCAGAGCAAGAATGGGGGCAACTGGTCTGGCTTGAAGCAAAGATGGAAAGGAAAGTTAGAGGAGCTGATGCTTTTAAGCTTGGTTTCTTGGCTCATCCTGCATTTCCAGTTTGCCAAGGACAATACATCTCATTAATTTTCCTGTTGCAGCCATCAAGGGAAGGGTGGAGGGAGTCAGGAAAGCTCTAGGTTTGATACCAGACCTGCTACTGACTCCTGGAATGACCTTGGGCAAGTCACTTAAATCTGCCTCAGCTTCTCTTTACCTTCCAGGATCCTTTGTAAGGATTAAATGCCTCTACAGTACCCTGGCCACGAAAAAGGGCTGTATGGGGTGTGGATCTGTTGTTTAGACTCCCTCTGGGTACCTCTTTGGATAGTTGGAGTCGCACTAAATTATTTCAGCGACTCTTCAGACTAACTTGAATATGCAATGCAACAACTTTTTCCTGAATTAATTCTGTAACCGCCCACATTTATTTTCAGACATCTTGATATATCCCCATAATACCTGCATGGGACTCTTGGAAGCAGGACTGCCCTGAGCCATTCTGGCGTTAACACCACAAAACTAATCATGGTAACCATTTCCTAGAGCAACCCTCTCCAACCTGATCTACAGAGAAGCATTCTCTCTGCAGGACAAGGACAAAGTGCTGAATTCTCCCAGGTACCTTAATGCCAAGGCAGGTCAGATTGTGGCTCACTAAATGACCTGCAGCTGGGTCACTATACTGTAATAAAGGCCTTGTCTCCATACATGCTGGCACTGGTCTGAGTGGCTTAATGAAGTTTAGCTTGAGTCTTTTCCTAACCAAATTAGGAGCATGAAAATAAGATCAGTGTTAAACTAAACAGATAACTCATGAGATTTAAACCCCCCGTTTGTTAAACAGATGCAACAAGGCATGCTGTAGAAGCTGCAGGCAAAATGCTTAGCTTTAAGGGACCATTACTCTCTCAGCTGACCTTTAGCATGGCACCTAGTTACTCCTGGATCCAACCCAACAGCTTGCTGGACAAGCGTAATGGTAGGATATTTCTTGAGTGTTTTGGAATTTAAAAGAATTTCCTGGTTACTTCCAGTATGAACCTTCTCACAAACCGTCCCACTGATCAAGGGCAGGCCCCGGCTTTGGGAGGATGATGCCCAACTCCCAGCAATCACCGATACCCAGTGGATCATAAAATTCACTTTCCCTTGTCAATCAAGGGAATGGATTCATTGCAGCAGGTCGACAAGTTTTCATCATCCACTAGGATCCCCCCTGCAGAGGGAACCTGGCAGCCCCACCACCCTGCCTACCTCTGCTCTGTGTACGGCTGGATGTTTTGAACGGTAATGTCCGAATCCAGGACCCCCAGCAGAACGCCTATCTGACGGATGAACATACCCTTCTGCCTTTCCGTCAGCTGGCTGACATTAACATCCAGAATCATCTCCACAAGGTTGTTTTTCCTTGGATCTAGACAGAACACAGAAGAAGGGTTTCTGAGTGACAGTCAGGGAGCAAATCTTAGTTTTCAGTCCCTTCTAGGATGCCTTGGTCTAAAAAGTGCAATAGTTACACATCATGATGAGCAGAGAATCTCAACCGTCAAGGACTATACAAAAACACAGCTATTGCTCCACGTAACTTATGACCTTTCAACTTCCCTGGCTGGATTGAGAGTTCACGCACAAAAGCACTGCAAATGCCAGCTCCAGAAACAAAACAGAAAAGAAGGTCAGTTAATTCACCATCAGAAGCCCTGTAAGTTATGGAAGCTGGTTAAATTCAATTATGAGGGTCACTACGATTTTTTAATTTCTAAAAGGAGGAAATCAGTTCTACAATTTTAAGGCAGCCTACAGCATCAGTGCATTTACACTGCTATGACACCTTTCATCTGAGCTCCTCAAGGCACTTCCCCACCTCCCCAGACTGTCAGGGTGAGGCCAAACCAGAAGAGTTTGGTCCATGGTTTCCTACTAAAACAGCTCTCTCTAGTTTGGTAGTATCAGATGGCATTCCAAATACTGATGCTCTCAGCTTTCCTGTGCCCGAGGTGCAATGATTCTGCAACTTCAGAATGGGATCAAGGAACAGAATCCCTAAAGTCAATCTGCCCAGGGAACCCTTCATTGTTCCTAGGTTCCTGCATACCACTTTGTCCAGGCCTGAAATGGTAGGCTTGGACTCTAGCTCAGAAATTCCAGGGCCCAACGCAAAAAGGACTCACCAGGTTTGACTTCCACCGTGGTCCTATCTACATCGCTCTCTCCCTTGGCATCTGTCACCTTCAGATGAAATGTGTACGTCCCTTCTACCAGGTTGGAAAGGAAGAGCACAGGGTGGTGGTCAGAGTTATTTAACACCTCCTGGGAATTTGAAAAAGAGCAACGTTAGAAAGACTGCTGGCTTGACCACTTTTACCACACACTGAGCTTATTGAGCCTGCACAGCTCCGAGGATGGTGCAGCATTGTACTAGGAGATATCTGCTTGTCTAGCAACACCTTACTGCATCTCCAGGAGAGGCTGTTTGTGCAGTACTCACCCCAGCTGCAGGGCTCCCCTCATCTCGAGTCCACAGGTAGCTGACGATTCCCTTATCATCAGATGACTTGGACCCATCCAGCTCTGCTGTGTTTGTGGGCAGGGTGATGATGACATTCCCAGCAATTTTTGCAACTGGTGGTTTGTTCATTTCTAAACATGGAGAAAGAAACTAGTTAGAAGCTCTGTTGAAGCCTGAGGGCAAGCATGACCCCAGGTACTGAGCTGTAATCCAGGGGTACATCACTAGCTGGGTCTGCATTTAAAGGGGATACAAACCAAGTACTGCAGGACTCAGTAAAGGACAAGGTCCTCCAGTTAAAACTGAACCTGTTCTAACACAATATAGTGACTGGCTTAGATATTGGCAAGTGAGTTCCCTCATATAGCAAGAGAAACTGGTCACCTTTCTCCTGTGAGCATCATGAAACAGCAGGAACATAGGATTAGCCAGACAAGTCAGCAAGAGTTCAAGTAACCTCAGTCCTCAGCTGTGAGGAATTCATGTGATCTCTGAACATTAGAGACTGGTTCAAGCCCCAAGCAAAAAGCCTTGTAACATTTATAACGCAAGGGATGTTCCCAACACTGGGGTGATTTTGAGACCACAAAAGAACAGGACTCAAGGGCATCCTGTGCCAGTAAACTCCAGGTGATCCCCGTCATGCCAAAAAAAAGGTTTCCCTTTGCCAGCCATGACTGATGTCTTTGACTGTCCCCTTGTTCCATACAAGATGGGCAGAAAAGAAACTCCTGACCTGCCTTGACACCAGGCAGCACGTTACAGATCCACATCACTCCCTTTTACTACTTTCTGATGTAAACCACCCCCTTTTTTTTTTCCCCACTCTCCCCAAAGCAGGCCTCCAACTTCTGAGATACCCTTGGGGATGGGACTGTCAGCAATGCACATGATTCCAGGTGAAGGCAGACTGCTGCTATACGCAGCAGTGTCCATTCCTTCACCCCGTTCGCCTTTGAGTGCAGCTGCACAGGCCACAGGTCTCCACTGAGCTGCCAAGGGCTGCTTGGGTCTCTCAGTTCAGTTCTGAGCAGAACTGGATGTACCTTCTTTGACAATGACGTTAACTGAGCTGTGGCTTTGCAAGTTCCTCTCATCTTTCACCGTCAGTGTGAATTCATATGTGCCGACCTGAAGCCCAGTCACAGTGGCAGTGCTGCTGTTGGCATTCTCCAGCTTCACACCATCCGGGCCCCTGGCCAAAACATAAGAACATGATGAGCCTTACAGAGGCTGTGGGTCTAGTCTCACACCAATGAACAGGGGAGCTACAGTCATCAGGGTGCCAGCCTTGCCTCTGAAGGCAACTAGACATAAAAGCGCATAAAGGAAAGTGATTTCCTCAACTCTCAGACTAGAACCTATATGGGGGAAATCCTACACACCCAAAGTGCTTTTTCCGGGTGTGCTGCAAAACAGATAACTGCTAACTGCACAACGAGCAAACAGTGACAGTGTGTTTGCAGCAATTATGGTCCTTTCAAGGTAGAAACTTTGCAGTCTGCTTGCACTGCTGGGCTAGGACAAAATGCAAGTTACATACAAAATGCGGCTCACAGATCTTACCCTAAATTTCCAAAAGGGATGAGCATCCAAAACGAGGTCTGGCAACAACCACAATTAACTGGAGGGGCAAGCTGTTTCCATGGAGAATGAAGACAGCCTGATCACACAAGACTGATGCTCACTGAACACCCCTTTTGTACCAATTTAAAATGGCCTAGACCCCTTATCACTACCAAAAGCCAGAGGCTGGGATATTTTTTATGTTTGAACTGGAAGGGGGCTTTACTCCACATCTTGGTCCTGTTGTAGTTCTGGATGAACCCTTCACTGAGGCCTTGGGGTTCAGGCTTTGAATCCTCAGTTTTCAGTACAGATGTAAAACCGCAGAGATGTCCCCGGGATGATCTGACCCTGATACTCACCGGGTTTTTTCCCAGAGGAAGGAGACTATCTTCTGGTCGTCTGAGCTCTTGCTGCCATCGAGAGTGGTGCTGTCCACAGGGAGGGTCAGCTCTTTATCTGGACCAGCATCTGCTTTGGGGGGCTTGTTGTTCTCTAAGAAAGCAGCATGGGTCACAGAAAGAAGACATGCGATTAAAGCATGCTGTGTGCTTTCTGGGGGAGAACTGGGAAACATTTCCCTGTGAACACTCAACTGAGTAGAGGGCAAGGCAAAAAATGGTTATGTGACTAGCCCAAGGTCTCGCTGTAGGTCTCTGGCCAATCCAAGAACAGAGCCCAGGAGTCTTAGCTTCTGTTCTCTTTCTTTTATGACCCTGACTCTGGCAGCAAGGGACAGAGCACGACCATGAAGTACAATCCTGCTATTATACTTCAGCCATAATACCAATTAGGAGAATCCTAGCTTATATTGCCTTTTTTATTTTACACAATCTGTCTGCAAATGGAGTGCTCGTAAAAGCTTTAATGGCTTGGTGATCAGCAATTTGCCAATAGCAGAAAGGCCCAGAATTAAAACAGCTTCGCTAGACGCACCATGCAGACATCACTGGATTCAGAAGTAATGTCGCTAGAGATGGAGTGGGAAGGAGCACTCTTACCCATCAGGCCTTACAAAAACACTGGTTAGAAACACCCTTCCTTCTATCCCCATTCCATTCCCTACAAAACCAATAGACTAGTCCTCTCAAAGGGGAGCTTACCAGGCTGGACTATCACAGTAACCTCTGCAGTGGATTGATGGCCAGCAGAATCGGTCACTGTTAGCTGGTAGGTGTAATCACCTTCTTGCATGGCAGAGAGCTGCAGGACTGGTGTCCTCACACCCTTGGAGAAAACAAATGGTTGTCTTAGGATGGCTTCTTAAACGAGATGCCAGACCTGAAGGACCAGCCCCTGTGCTGACTAACTTCCCCAAGCAGAAACTGGCTGCTTATTACTGATAGTTTATGCAGGGCTATAGATCGGCACGAGACTGAACAGATGAGTGTTCGTCCAAGTAGCTTACACCTAGGTTGTGTTGCTCAGTGAGACAACATGCTAGGAGAGCAGTGGAGCAACATACTAAAGGGAAACAGAAGAGTGTAAAAATTCCTGAGCACTCAGACACTGAGTGGCACTTCAAGGGCAGATTGCCCCAAATCCCTACTTTCTGCTATTCCAGTAGTGCAGGGGTGTCCAACCTTTTTGAATGCGGGGCTGGATCATGAACTTTTTATCACCCAGTGGGCCGGCGAGCCATATTCAAAGACCTCACAGGAAGCGGTGAAATTCAGCAGGTGAAATTCTATGGGCTGTGTTACACCGGACGTCAGACTGGAGGAGACAGAATCTTACAAGGGTGCCACAGAACTTCCTGTTGCTTCCACCTTTAATGGGGTCCTTTCGAGTTATAAGAACAAAGCTTCTTATGGATGCACAGGATGGATGCGCAAAGCTTCTAATGGATGCACAGGAGGAGCTAGGTGAGGGCCGTGATGCTACAGCCCGCACGTGCCGGGCTCTTCAGGTGGAACAGCCATGGGGCGGGGACCCAGGTCACCCAAGGCCCCCACCTTGGGCCCTGCTGTGCCTTGCAAGCCTGCCCAATGGCTCCCAGCCCGGAGCCAGCAAAAAAAAAAAAGGGGCTTCCTCTGTCGCGGACAGAGGCGGTGGCGGAGGAGGAAGCGGAGGCAGCGCAGTGAGCCCAGGCCAGCACCACACGCTCACACGAGGACCTGCAAGCTGGGCATGGGGCAGCGCTCAGGCAGCCCCCAGCTGCAACTGCTCCGCCTGCTGCCGGGAAGATGAACCACACAGGTGAGCGTGGAGCGGGGCAGGTGTGGGGGCCCTGGGATGATGCCTCCTTCTCCCCAGCCACAGCCCCGAGGGGCAGAGTCAGGTGCAAGCAGCGATTTAGCATGGGGGAAGTTGACTGGGGAGGGTCTGGGGAGGGTTTCGTCCCCGCTCCCCTCACCCCACATGTGCCCAGCTGGGCTCCGCTCGCCGTCTGCGGTGCTGGTCAGTGCAAGCTCTGCCTGGGACCGACCCACGTCGCACCAATGACCCGTGCTTTCGCTGCCGGCTACTCCTCTTCCCACACGCACCGTGTCGGCAACGTCAAGCTGACGCAGCGTGTGTGGTAATCTTGTCCCTTCCCTAGCCCTTCAGCAGCCATTAGGAAGCTGCTGAGGGCCTAGGGGAGGGACAAGGGTGGGAATGAAAGTAAACAGCGTTTACTTTCGTTTCCCGTTGCAGCACCGCGGGCCACAGATAATGGCTTGGTGGGCCGCATGGCAGCCCGTGGGCTGTATGTTGGACAAGCCTGCAGCAGTGCAATATTGGTACCAGCCCTTTTTAAGGAGGCCGTGCTGGGAAATGACAGTTGTGTTTGTGGTGGGGGGGAATGGTATCTGGCTGAAGTGAATCTATGAGGACTCAGTTTCCAAGCTCCACTCAAAAAGATGCACCCCACGGTGACCAGCTGGTGCAGAAGACTAGTAACAGGCTACGAAGCCCTTCAGGTCCAGGTAACTGGTGCAAATCCATCCCAAACTGCTCCAAGCCACTACTGTCAGTTTATTTACCAGCAGACAAACATCCACATTACAGTGTTGCTGGCTTGCCTGGTGGCACAGAGAGGCCCCAGATTGGACAGGCCAGAGAACAAGCTTCTTTGGCAACCACATGAGTTAGGAGCAAGACACACTGATGGGGGAAGCAAAGCTGCACCTTTCTCGTGCTGCACCTTGCTAGATGGGACACCAGTCTCTTAGCCATCACAAGCAACTTCTAAAATGGGTTAAACAGCTAATGGGCCCCATGAAGATTTAAGGCTGACCCTGGCTGTCTGCTAACCAGACCTAACATGATCCCAATGGCTATTTAGATTTCAATACTCCCATTCAATCAAACACAAAACCTTGTAGGGATCAGGAAGTTTGTATGCTGGAGCATCTCTTATCTTTAACCTTGTGACACAGGAGGTAAGTACCTCTCAGCTTAGCTCTGAGAAGGAAACCACTTACCTGCATCTCCACCACCTTTCCTTTGCTGCTGGGACTGAGCGACCACTCATAACTGACAATGCGGTGGTCATCGGTGCTCTGGTTCCCGTAGAGAGTGATTGAGTTCTGGGGCAGGGTGATCACCTGGTTTGGGCCTGCATTTGCAACTGGAGGATAGTCCACGGCTTTATTCACAGTCAGACTTGCAGTGGTTGAATTGCCGGCTCCATCTGAGTCTACAACTGTAAGGCTACGGACAAAGGGGAAAGAAACAAAACATCTCAGATACAAGTGGAGTTGTCAGGATGTAGCTACATTTCAGGTGAAGGGTCAGAAATTCAAAACTACCTTAATGCGGAATAGAAAGGCTACCTCACAGGGGGAAAAACCTGGTTTAGGACAACTATGCCACTGCAAAGTAATAAATGTCACCAAGTAGTATTGCCTAATTACAAAGGCAGAGCAAGGAATTCCACAACCTTGTCCATCCCTCTCCTAATAATCACCACCTAGTTCCAAATGCAAAGAAATTCCAGTGAAATAAGATCTTCCTCTTATGAGCTGGAGAAGTCAGTTAAAGAACAGACCTACCAAATGATGGCAAAGCCCTCCAGGGCAGGGGGCTAGACTAGATGACCTCCTAAGATCTTCTCCAGCCTTACTTTTCTATGATTCTAAAAGACATGTCAGGCGTTAAGCTTGGAGAGGACTGCAGGGAGCGGTGGGGGAAAGAGACCTTGCATTCTATCCACAGATATTTTTTCTGATACTTCTTCCCTAGGAAAGCTTTGCTTAAAGGAAATAAAAACTTTCCGTACGCTGACAATCAATAAAGAGATGCTTGCTTATTCCACAAGAAGCAGCAAAGCATGAAGGAAAAAGGCCCCGACAGCAGACTTGTTTTTCCGACACCCTGTTAACGTCACACAGCTATTACATTAGAAATCCACAGCTCTTGCCAGCCTGGCGTAGAAACTCATTCCAGCTCATCAACGACCCTGTTGGGAACAACTTTTCCTCTCAAGCAGAATAAAGATACAGAATAGGACAATCTTCTGCTGGATTTATATTGGTACACAAGCTTGAACTAGTTCACACCCATTACAGAAGTCATGAGTGCCCCACTGTATTTAAACAGACCCATTTAGTACTGACATCACAACAAAATGCAGATCAAAGGAAACACGCAAAACGTCCAGAGATTTGTAAAACCCCACCTAGTCTAAGCACCTTTTCACCAGGGACAAACACGTTTTACTTAGGAAAATACTAAGTTAGCAAGTTCCTCCAGAACCATTATCCAGGTTGAATAACCTAGTTTGGCTTTCTCAAGGAGATTTTGATCGCTCTCTCAGATCACATTCTTCTCTTCTACCAGCTTACGCTGATTTAACTTGTTTCTCATCAGCCAGCACCTTTTAATATATTCTTCTCAAAGAAAACACAGTATATGCTAACCAGAAAAGGTATGGAAGCGGAGAGATGCCACAAAATAGGCCTTTTTCCCCCCAACCACAAACCTCACACCAATGTCATCAAATATGAACATTAAGAGGTCTGTGAGGAACCTGTGCTGATGAATGGCAAAACGCACCACTTACCTGAATGTGTAGTTCCCAGGGACCAAGTTGGTCAGTGTTAATATGGCAGTATCAGTGGAAACCTTCTCTTCCCGCAGAGGCCCCTTTAGTTCTTCCCAGTGGTAGCTGACAATTTTATCGTCATCAGTGCTTTCTGCGTCAATTAAAAATAAAAAAGAACCCAATATGTACTAGGATCCTAGGCTCTACCCTGTTTTGCACTTGAGTATGCTCACTCACTCATTCTCCAATGCCCTTTTGATAGATGAATAAAAGAGGTACTGGGTGTGGGCAGGCAATATAAGGCTGAAACATCTAAAGAAGGGCTGGGCAGTGCTTTAACCACAAACATCAATAAAAATTACATGCTGGTTAACTGACACCCTGGGAGCTTAAGAGCCAGCAATTCTGAAAAGGTTTGATTCTTAGTGCTTCAGCCTAACCCAAAACCTACAGCTAGGCAGGCTCTCTTTTTTTCTGGGGATTCATCATCTGGATGAGGGCCCCCAAGAGTGGAAATAAAATGAGCCTTGTATTCAGGCTGGCTTGTACATCTGGAAAAAGAAGCTGGCAGAGAACAGCAATTTTGCTACAAACTAAATGACTCTGCAGGAGAAAAGGAAGCAATTTTTCTTGTGAAATTGTAAATGAGTTCTTCTAACTAGAACACAGCCAACTGTATCAGGTCTAGTTCAACATAACTTGTCCCAAAGGGTCTTCCTACAACCAGTGCCAGCTTGCTGGGCTACATTTGATAGGGCGGGGGGTACTCACGGCTGCCGTCGATGACGGTAGAGATGGTTGGCAAGGAAATCTCTTGGAACTGCGGTGACACGATGGCAACAGGAGGCTGATTCACTCGAGGCTCTGAAACAGCAACAGAGCACTGACACTGGTGCTTATGGGCATAGCAATGGTACCAATATCAACCAAGGGAGGCAGCAAAGCTGGTTTCAGGTTATCCACTAGGGGTTGCTAGAATGATACATGCTGCAAGTTCCCAACCCTACCTGCTCTGTTGTCTCGTGGAGTTGCTTCCGTGGCCCAGACTCAGCACGTCTAGGAGACAGGTCCAAAGTGCACTTGTGATACCTGGCAACCCTCTATCTTCGCTGATAAAGAGTGGTTGCTGTGGAAGGCCCTGCGCTAACCATGGGACTGCGCTCTGATCCAGCCAGCAGGTCACACCTCCTCCCCAGGCCTGCTGTGCTACGGGCGGGAGTTCCAAAAAAGCAGGCTGTGATGGGGGCCAGGGCTCACACAAAACCTAAGGTCCCAGGGCCCCATGTATAGCTATCATCTCCTTTAGAGAGTCACCGCTCAGAACAACTGGTTTTCCAAGAGACTGATACCTGCACTCACTTGCATGAGTTTGGCCACAGCTCTGAGAAGTGACCAGGTGAGCGCACACTGCTACCCGAGGCTCTGCTTCCCCAGTTACATTTAAATGAGCCCGCTATTTGTTCAAATCCAACAATATTCCCAAGCCTAAAATTCCCTGATAAATTCCCGAGTAGGCCTATGTTACTGTGCTCCCAAAACTCAGTAAAAGGTCTCTGAGGTAAATGCTCAAGACTATGTTCTTTCATATAAACAGGGGGCATTCAAGCCATTTCAAACAAGGGATGAAGTTTCAGCCAGACTACCTTCCATCCTTCCACCCCCTCTCAAGCAGTCCTTATTTGTTAATAAAGACTGGGCCATTTCCAGTTCAAAGTTTACTCTACAGGGAACAAACTCCCACTGTACAAACAAGACCTTTGAAAGCACCTTGCAGTGAGAACTGAGATCTGACTTAACAGGGCTGCAGATAGGGTTGGTACTGAAGGAGGCAGAGAAGCTCCAAGTCCTGGCTTCCCTCCCATACCCTGTTCCTGTTGCCGCAAGCTCTTCACCCTGTTGCAGCAACTCTCTAGCTAAGCGATGCTTTTCCCAGGGTCATGCACTTGCTAAACACTTCTGCAGCAGAGCTGCAGTTCCTTTATCGCATTTGTTTTTAATAGGCTTGCCCTCAGCATAGCAGAGCTGTGTGTAATGGAAGTAGCATTTCACATCATACAAACACTCTCTCTCTCTCATATATACACATATATCTACACACACACACACACACACACACACACACACACACACTGCAATGAATTCCCATTACTTCAAGCTACTGCCCAGCCCAGCAAACAAAATACCATGATGCAGCTGCTGATTTCACAAAGGGTGAAATCCAAAGTTCAAAAACCACAATCTGTATTGGAACTTACTTGGGTTCACCGTCACATTCACATAACCTTCCCCATGTGCATTATCTCCATCAACAATCACTTTGAATTCATACAGGCCAAAGGTGAGCTGGAAAGGAAGAAGAGGTTCCACTTGGTCAGAAGCTAGGTCAGACTGCCCATAATGTATTGGGACAGAAGACAACAGCCTAAAGCAGAGGTGCCTATGTATTTGGCCACATGTGCAAGGTAGAGGCAACCAGAGCTACAATCCTGTGTATCCTTTTGTTTTATCACTTTCATAATGCAGTTAAAAGGTGGCTATTTCCCACTGCCAGAGACATTATCCAGGCTGGAAAAGGGTTCCCTCTACCTTCTGAATCTGTGAAAAGCAAGCATAGCCCTCCCCTGCACACATGCATGCAGAAATGAGTGGGTTTATCTTGAGGTTGAGTGCCAGACAGCAGCCGTAAGGTTTAAGAGGTGGTAGAATGGCCTGTGGAGGGGCTTTTCCCTGCCAGGTACCCTGGCAATGACTCTTCCTTCCCCAAAACAGCTTTGGAGCAGAGCTGCTGGATGTGCAAGGAACCTCTTGAGAAAAGGAGTTACATTTTCATGATTACTCAAAATCCCTCCAAACACAGAAAGAAACAGTCCCTTCAATTCGCCACAAAATCCTGCTGAGAGCAGTGACAAGGGAGGTGCTTGCCTGGCTTCAGTCATGATAACTGTGCAGCACCCCAAGCACCTGGCTCCATGGGCGAGAAAGGAACTTTCCTCTAGCCACCCACCAGTTTTATGGGCAGGAAGGAGTGTCCAGGGCCCTCCCCTAAATTTTAATGCCAACTGCATTTATGGTCTTCAATCTGTCCCCCTGCTTTCCCACAGATTACGCTGATCTCCTTTTTCTAAATACTGAGATAAAGTCTTTCAGTCAACTGTTGGAAGCTTTCCCATCACACAATCTCCTATTATTCTGGACTATCGTGCAAGGCATCCCAGGGGACTGCCAGAGCCCCTGCCTA